GCATGAACTTCAGTTAAGTCACTAGGCGCCTCAGTGGCTGGATCTGCGTATCATTCCGATGATTGACATCGCCGAGTCATGCATGGGAGTCATTTCATCGCAGGAGGACAGACGACAGGCATGAGAGAGCCTTGACCTGCACTGACAGAGCTGCGGCAGGTGTAAGGAAGGGGCCTTTTAACAACATCATCATCATCACCCGCATCATCCGCATCATCAACCCTTCAGGTGCTAGACTTGCTGGTGGAAAGGATCCCCGTAGCAGTCCTACTTAACATGAGACAGCCATGGAGGAAATGGGAGGGTTGGACAGTTGCCAAGTTGAGGCACAGAACACGGAGTTGACCAAATGTCCAACAAGTCCCCGTTGTCATGCCAATTCAGCTGTGCAGCAGCCCACCCCAACTTCTGCCTGGTCCTAGAGCGTTTGCAGTCTTCATGACTTCACCATACCATGCTGAGAACCTCAAGAAAAGTTTCGAGCCCACGTTGCGCAAGCGACTTGGCGAAGCTTTCGAACGCCCAGCTCTCAGTTGACAAGGCTTGCAAGTTGCAGCTGTTTGGTGTCTCTAGCCCAGGCCTGAGCGAAGCGAAGGAACTGCACCGAGACTCCCTTCCACAGGCCATCGAATGGGCAGGCTGGACAGTGACGGCGGAGACTGCGCAGCAAGGATGGCAAAGTAAGCTATCGCGCATTATCCCGCACGCAACTTGTGCATGCATGTATGCTCGTGTTTGTGCACACGGCATTCGAGCATCTGGCAGAAGCAAGCACACCCAACCGCACCGACGCTATGAATACTAATACTATGCCTCTGTCATTGCGTGGTCGTCAACCTTTTGAGTGCAAGTCTTGTCCATGCTATGCAGTGCGCAGTGCCTAGCCAGCCAAGGAAGTCAAGAGGCTGATTGCCGAAGCTTTCGACAGCCTCTTCCAGTAACGTGGCAAGGTCATGGATTATGTATGATTAAGTTAGCAGTCCTTCCGGGGTCTTTTATGATCCGTAGCTGCTCCGTGGCACTGGGTGCAGTGGTCTCCAGGTACAACACGATGAACCAGAAGGAATTCTTCATATTCTTCGAGAAGTTTCAGCAGCTGGAAAAACAGCGTGCATTCGAGCCAAAGATGAATTAACCCTTGACCATGCGCAACATGTTAAAGCTAGCCATGAGCCTAAAATGCAACGCCATTGCGAAATCCGATATGTGACCATCCTGGACCACTGGGCTCCAAATCTTGCATGACCAGCAGCGACCAACCCTATCTCGTGGTTTGCGCTATGAATGAGATTCTGTCCGGCAATCTCAAAAGTGGATTGTGCATGTTCAGGTATGCCGCTCTTTTTGCGTGTGCCCAACAATTTACCTGAATCCTGCTAGATTCTCAAGCCCCTGCCGAAAAGGCATCGGCCCGTAGACACTCGATCAGGAAGCCTTCAATTCCTTCGATGCAGATGCAAGCGGCACGATTGATTTCGAAGAGCTCGGAGCATTGTTGGAGTCGCAGGCTACCATCCTGCTCATGAAGTTACCCTGTAATTAAGGAGTCACTTTGTTAAGACGTGCTCACCTCATTGGCTTTGGATTGCATGCCGAGTTGAAGCCAACGCAACGCAGGGCATTTTCCCCTTGCAGCACGTGATCTACGAGCTCGCAGTGGCAAGGGTCCAAGCTTTTTATGCTTTTCAACGTGATTTATCCTAGGAAGGGGCCTTCAAACATGTTTGCTTCTGAGTCATCACGGTACCTGGTAATTGAATATTCCATTCCCCCAATATTAAAACCCCCACCCATTAATATTAGATACTCCCGTTTTGGTACATTAAAATATATGGGGAATACTGAACATCAGGGGGAGTTTCAATACTTGCCCTAAACCCTAAACCCCTACATGCCCCTTTTACGGGTGGGAGGGATTTAAACATGGGTGGTTGTCAAAATTATGGTCCCTTTTTGGGTCCCTATTATAATACGGCCCCTAATATTTAGGGTACCCAAAAAGGGACCATAATTTTGACAACCACCCACATGAGGGGGAGGAGACTATCATGTGTCCTGCTTGGTTTGTTGCGAGCTAGGCTCCGCTGTTGGTGTGAAAGCCCTTTAGGGGTTTAGGGTTTGAGGGGTTAGGGTTTAGGGGCTTTAGGGGTTAGGGTTTAGGGGTTTAGAGGTTCAGGGTTTGAGGGGTTAGGGGTTTAGAGTTTCAGGGGTTTGGGGTTTAAGCTTTAGGGGTTTGGGGTTTAGGGCCTCTGTCTTCTCTTCAAACCGAGTATGGGTTGCCGTGGGGGAGGGTCTAGTGTTTAGAGTTTAGGGCTTAGGGTAGTTACCATAGTATGAGTACATAGTAAACAATAGGGTTTCCTTATTATAGTAACCTAGTTTAAGTTCCTTAACAGCAACCCGCAAGTTTGCACTATGCCTTGCATGAATGGGCTTCAAAGCAGCTAGCAGCTAATCATCATGCCAGTAGAGCATAGTGGCTGGTTGATGTTTTTAGTTGTTCCGGCAGTCCACCCAGCCGCGCCTCAAAGCACACGTTGTCGAGCCGACAACTTCCATGGGCATGAGTGCAGATCATATATCTTTATCTCTCTCTCGCTCTCTCCCCCTCTCTCTCTCTTTCTCTCTCTCTCTCTTTCTCTCTCTCTCTCTCTCTCTCGCTCTCTCTCTCGCTCTCTCTTTCGCTCTCTCTCTCTCTCTGTCTTTCTCTCTATGTGTCGCTTCGACCTGCGCCTTGTGATGGCTCCTGCTCTGATGGAAGTGGCCCTTGTTGCGTTTGATTCTCCTGCAGGTGAGGGCTTAGTGTTCCCTCGGCTGTGCGGCGAGTCATCATGTGAAGGCTAACACATGCTTAGAGTTTGCCAGCCTTTTTCCTGAATTCTTCGCGAGTAGCAAGTACACTACCATGTAATTGCTGCGTGGCCTGTTTTCTCCAGCTTTAATGAGCACCAGGCATACAAGGGACCCGCAGGAAACACGGTCACCATGGCCGAGAATAACGTTGATCGTCTACGGGATGCGCGTAGTGTCACCGGTGCCCCAGGACGCCTGCGGCGGAAATTTGGTCGACGGCCTTGACTTCAGTGAGTTTCAACGTGTCGGGGGCCTCGTAGTAGTGATTTGCACATTTGCGTTGCATTGCAGCGTTTGGGAGGTGCTCGAGATTCTTCGCGAGCGGGAAGGCTTCACCCGCGAGGCGGGGGCTACTCGCGCGTGGCATATTTTCAAATCCATCATGACTTGCAGGTGACAGGTGGCAGGCATACAGCCAGAAGATTAAGCTTAGCAATTTCCAGTGACAAGCTAAATTGTTGTCAGACCTAACTACTGGAAGAAGACTAAAGGGTGTGCAGCATCAGGTAGGTAACAAACAGTCCACCAGATCAGAGGCTTTCACACAGCTCTACCCTACCTCTTGGCTTACCGGGGGTTAGAAGGGAATAAGGGAATATAGAATATAGGGTGTCACATGGTGTGTATAGGTAGATGATTGCATTCCCTTATTCCCTACTACCCCCAAGTAAGACCTGGGTTCAGCCCGCAGGAGATCGAGCGGATCGAAGACGCCTTCGACAAGTGTGACAGCGACGGCAGCGGACGCTGGTCGTTTTCTTTCAAACAGTGACTGTAACTTAAAGAGGGGGGCTTGAACGTAACATGAAATTGAAACTGCAGGCTTGAAGGGGTCTTAGATAAGTACTGAGGTGTTTGGTGAAGTGCAGTCTTGAGATAAGTGGCAGTGCAGAGCCCCTCGCACATGGAGAGCATGCCCTCCAGAGATGTTGGCCTTTTGTTGGTACTGGCTTCAAGCAATAAGGCCTCAAGAAGAAACAGTAAGGGTGGTCAATGCAGGTGTAGCAAACTATCAGTGCAGGCTCTCGAACCCGGATCTTGGCACCTGATTTAAGTAGGAAATGGGGGAATACAATCCTTAGATAATATTCTCCCTACTTGCCCCCAGCAAGCGAAGGATCACTTGACCTCTTGGAGATCAGTCGCGTCCTTGCCATCCTTGGCTACTCCCGGGATATGAAGTATCAGGACCTACTTGCCGAGGTGGCTTTGTAGGGAAGCTCTGTACGACAACGTTATATAAGGGTTATATAGGGATAATGGAAAAGAAAATGGAAACTACTACATTATGTAGGAATTATATAGGGGTTATATTAGGGGTTATATAGGGGATATGTTGGGGTTATATAGGGATAATGGAAAAGAAAATGGAAACTATAGGGATTATAGGGTTTATATTGGGGTTACTATTGGGGTAATATTGGGAGAATGGAAAAGAAAATGGAAACTACTATAATATGTTGGGGTAATATTGGGATAATGGAAAAGAAAATGGAAACTACTATAACGGTGAAGATCAGGCTTTGGTATCACAACTGGCTTATCGGGTCAGGTCTCTTGCCCATGCTTATGATCCAAGGCTGACGGCACCAACCTTTCAATCTAAAGTCCACTCCATGCAGTTCGGGTTTTCTGCACATCAGCAGGAGGGCATCCATTTACCTCCAAACTTAGAGTCCTGTCCAGATTAGTAGCAATGAACGGGTGATGTATCCTCAACAGAACATGGAAGGGCATCGAGAACCAAACAATTTCGAAGCAGAATGTCTTCCTATGCCTGCTATAAAGCTCGGAGCCCAGACTTTGAACAACCATCTGGCAGGTGGATACTGAGGGGTCGAATCAGCTGAGCAAGCGCGACTTCACTGTGCCCTGTAGAAGTTGTGCTTTCAGGGGAATCATGCAGAGGTTCTAGAGCAGTTGCGATGTGTTTTGCTTGCGGCTTAGCACGGATGCTGGGGACGACAAGGGGCAATGCCCTCCTGAAAGTCATGGTTTGCAGGTTGCTATGGCATGGTCTCGTAGTATTTTTGGATACTTTAGGCCGTCAGAAAATTTTGGTAAATTGGAACACTAGCCTTTTCCTGTGATGCAAGTTGCCATTGTGTGGCATCGAAATTTCCACAGCATGAGCCTGTGAGGTGCTGATGAGAAAGATCCAGGAGCGAAATGTCAAGTACATAAAGGATTATTTCAGGCGCGGAGCTGGGAAAACAAAGCACAGCTTTCGTTCATTCTCCCAAGAATCAGGAAATCCGCGCAATGCTTCCTGCTAGGAAGGGTGTGCTGGCTTTGTAGTTGTGGCCCAGGAGAAGCCAGTGTTCTCCCTCGTATCTTCTACCTAGCCTCGTGTTCCTGACGTATCGCCCCGCGCTTTCTCCTGCACAATCCCTGCACGTGTTCCATCAGGGAATGCGACACAGATGGAGAGCCTGGCCTGGATGCACGGGAAATTTCCCTGCTCCTTCAATCTTTGGGGTATTTGCCGGACATGGCATGCATCTTTTCTGCAGGCCAGCTAGCCACATGACGATTCTGCAATGCACATAGAACCCAATGGGTAAGGCATTATGTTCTTGCACATGCCCCACCCTGGAGTTTGGCCTGCTTCAGATGAGGCATAATTGAAACAATGTTGCAGCTTGGCGTGGATGACCCTGAAGAGGACAGAAAGCGGCAAATCCGCAGAGTAGGCAGTAGTCGCAAGCGCATCATAATTTTCAACATGCGTGAGAGGACTTGGACTTCTCGCAAGTCTGGCGATTTCTTGAGATCTTCCGCAGACAGCATGGTTCCTCTGCTTTGCATACTGCACGTACGCACTTCGAATTTGATGTTTGTCACTTTGTTCATGCCGACCAAGCTTCAAGACATAGATGAAAGAGCAGAGAAGGCCCAAAGCAACTTGAGATCTTTGACTCGCAGTGACTCCATACAGCCATTTGGGCACATCGCCAGTAGTTCCGAAACTTTCTTCCCAGCTTGGACTGCTTGAGGCCTCACCCTCGGCGCCATCACAGAAGCGCTGGATGTCTTCAAGAAGCAGCCGGGATTTGGTAGTTTTCCCAAGATAGGGGGACACCAATATAGACCTCAATATAATACATTATAATCCTCATCATGGGGACCCCCAAAGTGGTGCCTCTAATGTTGGGAAACCCCCCATTTCTCAAGCTTTTCTGCAGAGAGCTTCGAGTCAGAGACCATTGCAACCCCTGTTGGGCTACGCTTAGTAGAATGGGGTAGCGGTTATGTTGTGGGGAGAGATATCACGTGCTTTTAGCCAAGATCTCATTGTATATGAGGTTCACAAGTGACGACACAATCAGCGTGGACTGCTTATTGAAGATGGTGCGAACCATGGGTTATGACCTGCACTACCACGAAGTTCGCAGACTCATGTACCTGGTGGAGTCCAGCGAGTCCGGTGTCATGAACGAAGCTTGGCCCGGTACCAACAGCTGCCTCCCTATGTAAACCCCTATATGAACCCGTTCGAGTAGTTTCCATTTTCTTTTCCATTATCCCAACATATCCAAAAACCATATGCGCCAGAGAGCTGGTCAAATGTTTGAGTTTGGGTTAAGGAAAAAGAGTTCGTGATGGTCCTGGGCCACCTGCGTGACAGAGAGCTGCGGCAAATGTGGAAGGTCATCCATGAGGGGTGTAACAGCCCTGCCGCCAAGGAGCTGAAAGAGAGGCGCCTTTGGTCGAATCCACCTATTCTTGTCCAAGTCTTGTAAAATCACGAATTGGACAGTGGAGCAAACCACTCGCGATGAGTTTAAAAGCATGAACCTAGCAATATAATGGGAATAGGAAGAATCGTAATAGTGATGTAGCAACAATAGTAATGATATGTCATGAGCCGAAGGTTCAAAAGGGAGATGCTGGGCATCTCCGAAGGTGAGGAAGCCAGTGGGGAGAAGCCCCGCCGCAAGAAGGTAACCTTCACTGAGTTCATTCCCTGGGCCACGCAGCTGCGAAACGAACAGCGGGAGGAGGTGCGCAGACATCACGGCTTCAGCAAGGACCGCTGGATGCTATACACGCCAGGTCACGAGAGCTATGCGTTTATGTGGGTCCTGTTCAACTATACCACATTTTTTTGGTAGGGGTCTATGTGAAGTACCTGAACTTGAAGCACTCTAGACTTGTGTTTGGAGAGAGTTCTGCAATAGTAGCTTGTGATCAAGCCGAGTCATGGGCTGAAGCAGGGAGAGCACTCCAGGAGGAGGTGGAAATCTTTCAGCGTGACTTTGGCTCCTGCTCACATGATGCCAGCGGCCGTATTCGGGCGAGCGATCTCAGGCGACTCAAATTTCGGAGAGATCCCTACTCTTTAAGTTTAGTCCTTGACTGCCATCCTTGAAGTGTAAACTCCGATCCCGCTTGAGGAGGGGTGAGCCTAGAAGACAACAACCCAACAGTGCTGGCTGTGTGCGAGCACCTGATAGCAGTATCTGCGCTGGCTTCTTGGGCACAGGCAGCTCGCATGTAGCCAGGCATCTCTTGACGCAGAAGTTCCCGATGCTGGCAGACAAGACGACAATGAAGGACAACAGGGCAAAGCTCAGCAGTACGGTTGCAACAGCGTCAGACGTACAATGTATGTATGACTTTCAATTGGAAATCAATCCGAAAGGGCTTCATATTGCTGAGGCGAGATCCTGGCAGGCAAAGAGCCTGGAAGCCGAGTCGGACTGGATGAGTTTCTTGCCCTTTCACGCGTCTGTGTTGACATCATCGAGCTAGACAAGTTGAAGCGCGAAAGGAAGGCAATTGAGCCGCTGGGCCGCATCTTTCCAGGTACTCGATGGTCCATAAATACTCATATTTGAAGCGAAGCGGCCGAGAGGTCAGTCCCAGAAACTTTGAATTGGAATCTCAGATTCGAGTGCTGGCATGTCGGCTGCTCTGCGCATTTGCCAAAATCTGGCGTCGCAACAGCGCCATCAAGCATTTGAATGCAACATAGCTTCCCTGCAACAATTTTGCCGCGCTCTGAGGGAGAGAGACTTCACCCCCGCGGAAGTCCACGAGTTCCGCAGCCTCTTCATGTCTCAGGCATCTTCTTCAGGGCTGCCAGGCAGCTACCGGAATCGTGACTTGATGGCACCTGGCACTGGCAGTTTTGTTGAAAGACGGATGGACATGCTCAACAGCTCCTGTTTGCCATTTGACCTGAGAGGCCGCACGTGCCACCCTTGTTGCAGCAATTATCTTAGTGAAATTGACCTGGGTGAGTCCAACATTCCAACTTTAAACAACGATGTATTCTGGGTGCATGCTGTACGCTCTATATCTATGTCCCCTCGTGCTTCAGCTTGCAGTCAGTGCAAAGCGACTTTGTCTCTCTCAAGCCTCAAGATAAGCAGTTGTTCAGCATTCTTGCTGACATTAGAATCCTTACGACAGGCACTCCAAAAAAAAGGACTCCAAATGTTGGCAAACCCGCCCATGAGTATCGTTTGCCTTGGAAAGCCCAGGCCTCTCCTTCGAGGAGGTGGGCGAGTGCCTTGGATTAGTAAGGATCCCATCGTGGAAGTTTGGGTCAAGATGGAATTCCAGGGGTCTGGGCTTTGTGGCTGTGGCTCCTGCCCTAGCCTTTTTGGGCACCACATATGTCCTAGCTCAGACTACCTTGTTGTGCTGCTGGATGAAACAAGGGCCCTGGGATGGACAAGGACTTTCCCAAGAGTGCTGCGCAGTAAACAGAGCATCACCCGACTGCTGAGGCTACTGGCCAGGGTTGTCCCTTTGGGGTACAAAAACGCGCAGGCGAGCAAAAAGTTGGCCAGCATTTGTGATGCGGCGGCAAATGCGAGATCCATCACTGCCTCAACCCGGCAGGTGCTGAAGCGGGAAGTTCGACAGGTGCACAAGCATGGCCCCAGAGGGGATGACTCCTGGCACGTGTCAGCCAAGTTCCGCAAATTGCAATTCAATCCTCGTGTCAATCGGTTTTTCTTGTTCTCTCAGCTTATATCTTTTGCGCTGCTGAGGGTGTTCATTATGTTCATTTGAGGCTCTGGCAAGTCAGGTTCCAGAAATGTCCGATCCTGTATGGCTTTTCTGCTGCAGGCTCTTGCACATTGATGCCTGCAAGACGTGGAAATAAGGATTCGGTGAACTTTGTCGAGTTCTTAAGTTTGATGGAGCGGCTGCTGGCTGCAAACTTTGGGGGCATGGCTACGCTGGGCAAGACTGCAGGTGACTTGGTGCCCAACAGGCTGGAACAGTCAGCATGGATAACAGCGCTCAAGCAGAACTCGTTGCAAAGCAGAGTTTGCCCAAGAAAGCTCTACCAAGAACATGTCACGCCATGCAAGCTGAGATTCCAAGCTTCAGCCCCTGTCCACATCACAGAATTGCCGAGGTAAGAGAGAGAGGTCAGGCAAACCAGACGCAGAGTCAGGGGCGAATGGTGACGGCAGCGAAGTTGCTACATCGTGAGTCCTGCCGCATGCCGCGCTAGGTTTGCTTTAGTCTTGGGCCTCCAGCCGGCAAAGAGAAAAGGATAATGTCACCGTAGTTTGTCAGTTTCCTCTTCGGCGGTGAGCTGAAGACATTTGCTTAATGTCCCCAGTGCGCTCTTCGCAGTAAGCGGACAGCGAGCAATGCCTCTAAGAGGCGTGCACTGGAATTATGAAATTCTGTGCCTGAGGAAGGGTGAGATGTGTTGCAGAACATTGTGGCAGCTACAAACGCTGTACTGCTCTTTACGTGTGTGTGGCGCATCGCATTCCTTCTGATTGCACACTTTAACAGGCATAATGTGGCCGCCGTGGCGGGAGATGCCTAGGGAGATAGCAGTAACTCTACAGCCAGCAGCCGCTACCAGAAACGTCGACACATTGGCATCTCCATCTCCTCATCAAAGTTGAGGCAGTCCTTGCAAGTTCTGCAGGCGGCATGATGGCCTCGGTTATGCTCGCAAACAAAACCAGGATGCAGGGACCATCCTTAGTCTACAGTGTGGTGTAATGAACCTTCAGCCTTAGCTGCCTTCTCTCTTCAGGTCGTGTGGTTCTGAAGACGAGACAAGATCAGTCATTATGCATTTTATGTTGGTAAAGATTAAATGGTCTACAGCAGGCTTGAGCAGGCTTGCCTCAGGCAGCGTGCAAGAGGTTCCTCAAGAAGTCAGGCGCTTCTGTGTGGGGGGCGCATAAATGCCTAGGCTGCGTGATTTGGGACACCATAGACACAACATGTGGCTAGGACTGCAGACGTAGTGATGTTCTCAACCTGAGGCCTGTGGCAGAGATGCCCTTCTCAGTTCGTTTTGGTGTGACTGGGAGTGTGCTGACTCTGGGCATGGTGGGGCAGCTCAGCTCTGGATGATAAGGCACCCATTGGGGTAATATTAGGGTTATATTGGTGTAATGGAAAATAAAAATGAAAACTGCTATTTAGGGTTTAGGGAGTACCATGCTAAACCATGTTTGCAGCTACAATTGCATGATGTTGGGCACGCTGTTGGTTCATGGAAAATTTATGGCTCAGTTGTTGTTTTGTGCAAGAGCTTCGTCGGGCAGAACCTACTTGCGACCGCCGCACTAGGGAGGGTGGGATATGGCGATTGCTCAGACAATTTCAAGGTTATGATCTTCATCTCGCCCTTCGATGATGCGCCTTTGTTTCGCAGCAGCCTCAGAGAGCTGTTGGGAAGCACGACCAACTCCTATCCACGAGACTTGCGGCACTCCCGACTGGCCCTCGTCATTGCACACCTTGTTTGCTTCTGCTTGGGCAACTTTGCACTGTTGGCAAACGTGCTTACCAAGCAGCGTCCATGTTTCCCAACCCCATTTTCTCCTTCGGCTCGAGATCAGCTAGGAAATCAGCAGCAGCAACGCAGGTCGGTAGAAACCCTCAAAGCGCGAACCAATTCTTAGCCTGGTTCGAGTCGACTTTGAATCGTTGGTCATGGCTTAGGGCAACATGGCGACCCAAGAGCAATGGGTGCTCAAAACTCGAAACATATACTTGGAGATGGGTGTTGAATAGACCGGAGTAGCAGCGCAGCATCATGAAGGTTATTTGAAGTTGTTTTTTCTGTTCACTGCCACTCAGGCGAACCTTGCTACCCCATCTTCACCAAGGGCTTGCTGTCGCCGGTGTTTGGTCTTGGGCTTTGCCTAGAAGTCCTATCTGCGCATTTATAGACCTGTCCCATGCGCGCGCTGGTTAAGAAGTATTAAGAAGCACAGCTGACTGCACGCGATCTTTTGCGAAGCTTCGTCGTTGGGAAAGCATTTGTGTGGCGATGAGGCCTGCTCATCTTGGGCTTATGCAACGAGGCAGTGCTGCCAGCAAACGAGCTCAGCACAGTGCACCCACATTCTCCCATAGCATGCACAATCCTCAGCACCACGCGCTCACTGTCACAGAACGTTGTCTTAAGCAATCTTGCTGCAGATGATGTGTCCTCGGCTGTGCACATTCCATGTCAGTAAATGTCAGTCATACCGCTGACCAACAACAAGCAAGAAGAACAAGAAGAAGAAGCACAAGAAGAGGAAGATCACTAGCAGGGTCGGCAACAGCAAGTATTAACAGGAGGAGGAGAGGCCTGCCACCGCCGCTTCTGCTCCTCCTAATCCCACTGCGATCATAAGTCCACGTTTTCAGCCCCCCAGAATTGCTTTTGCACATACATCTGTGAAGGCTGACCCTTTAGCTCGACTGGCGGCCAGGGGGTCGCTCTTTTGTGCCGGGCCTCTCAGCTCTTCTTCCACAGGGTTGATCGGGCTTGGAATTTAGCTCCAAGTGGCCCTAAGTTCGATCTATTTGTGCTCGGTCTGTTCTAAGGGTCCTTGCTGAAAAGATTGTTTCCGCACCTGATCAGTGGGATAGGCTTCCATGAGACAGTGGTCATTTTGCGATGGCATTTATGGGAGCTGACATCCTAGTAAACGTAAGAGCACAAGTGGGCCGTAGTCTAAACTCCTTAAAGGGGATTATATGGGGGGTTAGATAAGGACTACTATCGGGGATACTAAGGGAAATACAAGGGGTTTAGACAATGGCTCATATGCAGGCCGGGTGACATGTAGCGGAGGGAACGATACGCGTGTCGCAAGCTCGTGGGCCCGCTACGCTTGGGATAATGGAAACTAAAATGGAAGCTGGTACTATAGTATATTGGGGCTTTATGAGGAAAATGGAAAATGAAATTGAAACTACTACAGTATATTGGGGTTATATGAGGATAATGGAAAATAAAATGGAAACTACTATAGTAAATTGGGGTTAGATTAGGATTATGGAAAAGAAAAATGGAAACTACTATTTAGGGTTTGGGGTTGGTCCGATCTTCCGGGCACACCTTTTCCTTTCCCTTTATGACGCCTGGCACCGCAACTTTGTTCAGTCTGTGGCTCTAAGGTTGGCAAACTCTCCCTGCCCATGTTCTTGCTGGCTCTGCCGGCAGCCAAGCTTCTCGAGTTGAAGCATGTAGCTCGTGGAAAGACGTTTGTCTGCAGTGCCTTTGTCATCTACCATGTCATCTACCATTTGTCCAGACCACGAAACATGTCTTCCAATTTAGTGTAGGATACCATATGTCGGGAGCCAATCTACCCCACATATGAGTATAAGATCCCATACTAGGGTACCAAGAAACTGGCCCAGAGGTTACTAAGTTTGAGGAGCATAGCCACGCCAAGGCCAGTCCATATTGCCGTGGAGCAAGTGCCTGAACCTCACAGGGCAGGATTTCCCAAACTTAGTGTTCCTTTTAGCGAAATTTAGGCGGCATCATTCACAGCGCATCAATAAAGGGACTTGACTCGTAAGCTGTGAGTCAGCTACATTCCGCGCAGTCCAGATTAGAGAAGAGGCAGGACAGGTATAAGCAGACTCAGTCCTTGCGTTGGTGTTCTGAACTGGTAGAGCGGACACTTCTGGCTTGCCTGGCTGGGAACTCTGGCTTTTTCAACAGCGCGCAGAGTGCTCTGAAATGCGCTTGCCCTGTAGCAGTATGTCCTAGTCTCTGGAAAGGATGAAACTAGCATTTCCAACCCCAAGCTGGACAGATTGCAAGGGCATAGGGATCAAAAAAAAATAAATAGGGATCAAAGAAAAAATAAATAGGGTTCAATACAAAAATAAATAGGGATCAAAAAAAAAATATCTGTAATTTGAATGGTTTTGCAAGGAAACCGTACGTTTCCTCTGGGGCGTTTCCTCATGGGTTTAAGGGGAGATCGTACGGAAGGAAGGA